ATGAAGGACTGCTCCGATGCTTTGTCAGTTTCATCATCACATTGGACACTTTTTTTGCAGCCATGCTGCGTTACCGTTCCGACACCTTGAATGATTGCGTTTAGCGTCTGGCCAGAAGTCAGGTTAGTCTGCAAGCGCTTCGCCGACACCACGTTCGAGAGAACATTTTTGCCTGGTTTAGTGTTTAGTAATGTGATATAAACTTCAGTCGATAAGGAGATCCTAGGATCCTCCTTAGGTCATCCGGCTTGTGTATTCTGGTGTAAATCCATTTCCTCTATCCTGCAACGTAAATAAATGGTATATTCCTCGGCGATACGAGGCACAGTCCAACTATGTGGTCTGATCAATGTGTACAGCATGATCGCACAAAGTAATTGTTCACGCTTCATACAATGGATCCAAAACAGATATTATAGGAAATTGGCAGGTTTAAGGTATCAAGGAAATTGAAAGCTGAGAACAATAACAAATACGGGTTCAACAAATGTTCACCTAATGTAATGCGGCCGTTCGTGGAACCGTCCCCAGGGGACCTGCTTCCGTGCGAGGTATTCGCTCGAAGTTTTCGTCTGTATGCTCACCACATGCTCTTAGACGAACTTCGAAAGCTTTACAACTGCCATCGTTCATGATCTTTGAGTGAACCATGTCCTGGCTATTCCTCGTTACAAATTACCTCACTTTGAGGCCTCTGACTGTAATTAAGACGTTCGCGCTCGTTTTTCTTCTTGGGCGAAGCTTCGTCTATCACAAATGAAGGTCGAACCCACTATCATGGATAAATTTGCACTCTTCCTGCAACTACGTGTGCCGAAAAATCGGGCGAATAGGCCTACTGACTTGCCATTTCTGGAACACTGTTGATGCGATCGATCTCGTAGTGGCATTTTTGAGGGATCTTTAACTTTCCGAGAACCTTTGATATCGTAGATAAGGTAAAGTGGATCTAGTTTTCTCTCAGCCTCTGCATCAAACTATCCCCCGAATGTCCTTCAACTGTTTCTTCGGTGCACTAGATTACACCCGGAGTCAGCTCATATCTGTTGTTTCCTCCATAAATGTGCTGACCAGTGGCGCTTTCTCGTCTGTAGGCACTGTTGATTCTCCCCGTGCTCTCTCGGACATTTGGGCAGACTTGTGGGTTGTTTTTGACACCGATCAACACACTTGTTTCCACCTCTAGCTAACTTGGATAATGATGATGATTTACTGATGAAGGAACTCTTTATGTGTCAAGCATGGCCGCTGCGTCGGAGACGTATCTTCTCTTCATCGGTTGCTCATTTCTTTTCGTCTCGTGAGGTAGTAGGCTACTACAGCTAAGCGAACTTTGTGAATCGGACTTTTGATAGTTGCGCAGCTGTACGGGTTCATGGTTGGCAGCATCCGGTTTCGGAATGGCCTGTCACGGGCTAGCGACAGGACGCCTGCGCCTACAGAGGGACTATGAGTGGCTTGCGCTGCACCACCCACAGCTCCAACCACAAACCCCAAATCCAGTGTAAACCCGGAGGAATAAGACCGGGAGGTATGTGGATGGGAGCCACGTTTCATCAACGGATCCGGCCCACACTCCTTCACAGGCAAACACAAGTACGCTGTATTTGGAGAATCAAGCGCACACAAGGCGGTGGCTGAACCGTGGTTCGCTCCACACTGAGTGCATGCAACCGCTCTTCTAGCGTAGCACGGCCACAAGGACCGTGCACCCCGTCCCCTCCAGCAACGACCAACTGTCTCCTGGAGCCAGTATGGACGAGGTAGTGGGTAATAGACAAGTAGGCACCTTGTGAAGATGCACATCAAGCGCAGCCACACCGGAGATGTCAATCAACAGCCAACCACTTGAATTGACGTTATCAAATAAAAGATATCTGTTAAAGAATACGGCTACACCGACATAACTCTTCCCCAACCTAGCATATGAAGTAATTTGGTTAGCAACGAATCCGCGATAAGTACAAAATGTTCACAACTTAGCCAAAAATGCTACAAACACAATAAAGTTAACGAAGATAAGCGCAGTTAGCGAAAGCAACGTGGCCAGTTAATAGAAGATTATTCAGGTAGGCAGAACAAAGAAAACAAAGTGGAATGAAATTTATCCGGCTTAAAAAGACCTAGTATAAGTTGGTTTAGCCCAACTGCGGTGAAGAAGCATCATGAATTCAGCATCAGCCACACACCTACGCACACACAATGCATGAGCACTGATGGGGTGATAGGAAAAACTGGGTCACTGATCGAGGGAACGACACGCGCCATAATTTCAACTCACTGCTTGCCCAATTATGGATTCGTTAGCCCACCCGCAGCCTTATTTGCGTACCGTCCAATCTTTCTACCCTGACTCGTCAAATCTTGCAGGAAAAATGTTCCAGATGATAATGAATGACTTTATGCCGGTAGCAACAAGCCTGTGTGCTCGTTCAAAGGAACCTTCAGAATGGTTACCTAACATGGCCGCACAGATTGTGTATTTAGTATGTTGACGAACTTATCAAAGGTAATAACAGGTCGTCGCTTCATCGAATATCACTCTTAAACGCCATCGTCTTTGTTTATAAATTACTGTTTTGCTTAAAATAATCTGTATCCAGTTTTATTTTGGAAAACCTCCAGTTTGTTTTGAAATCATCTGATTTGGTGTAGAAATAGTGAATTTATGCCCGGCAATTCTGGATAATTTATGTTTGTTGGTTCCGCCCAGATCGTTAATGATTTCGCACTTGTGCCGCCCTATCAACTTCATCCCAACGTTGTCGATTGCTCAACGTTTCTTTGATGACCACCAGAAGATTTTTAATAGCGCATTCCCAGTGACCTTTTTCGCTTGATAACTGCCGCACAGTAGAACACAATCGTCACTCGCCTGTTTCTGATGAACGTGCGCATCTCATCGGGATTCTTTCGGTTGAGAACATTTTGACTAATTTAGCCTTTCGACATGTGCATTCCCCTCACTTCGAGAATGAATGCGCTAACTAACCATGTAAGCCACTTCCCATAACTGCAATGGAGTTGCTTTCCGAACATTTGTACAATGCTAATTCACCATTTTATTTTTAGCTCCTCTATGTTCCATGCACCCATCGTATCCATTATCGTAGCAAGATGGAGGTGTCACCATAGCACAAATACTGAAATGCGTTCTTGAGATCCAAACTGGGATATATAAATATATATATATATATATATATATATATATATATATATATATATATATATATATATATATATATATAGTCAACACCGCCAATTGCACAACTGGCATAGTGCCACAAGGTATGAAAAATACAATAGACAAACGAAGGGAGATAGAAAAACAGTGTTGGTGGGAATAGAACATTATAACGAGTCCGCCATTGCGCACAGGTTCTTACTATATCAGGGAGTGTTTCCAGCCATGCGTGTTCCCGGATCTTTCACACTCCAGCCATGGAGCCGAGAGTGCCCGACCACGACTAACTTTGACGTTTGCTTCTTCATGCTCCTGGTCCAAGTCACACGTTGGCCACCTTGCTTTCGCTTCCAGCCGACTTCTGCGCGCGGAGGGCACGGCGAGGTAAGCGATGAGTAGGTATGGCAAGAACATGCCGAAGCCACTGAAGTCTGCACAGGGAAATTATGCTGATCAGTGGCCGGCAAAACCCGAGCTGAAAACCCTTCGTCGAACATCTTCGTTACTAGTGTGATGTTGCCATCGTACACCATCAATGCTCGTAAGGCAGCGGTGATCAAAGACCAACAGCCTCACAACATCCTTTGTACGAGCATGCCAAGTCTCGTAGCCATAGAGCAGAACTGCTCTCACTGTGGTATTGTAAACTCGGACTTTCAGCGATAGACTCAGAGCACCTCGACGTCATAGATGGCGAAGATTGGCAAAAGCAACCCAAGCCTTGGAGACGCGCAAACTGACCTCATTCGTTAAACCATTAGCGCTGAGGCAGGTTCCGAGGTAAACGAACTTGTCCACCATTTCCAATGAATGATCTGAAAGGGTAAGGGCAGGAGCAGCGCCTAACCAGTCCTGCAGGATGACCTTGCACTTCGATAGTGCGTGGGTCATTCCAAACTGGGAGACAGATACCTCCAACCTACACAGGACATTTTGGGCGGACTGTGAGGAATCGCAGATTACGGCAATGTCGTCTGCATACTCCAAATCCCGAAGTTGATCTCCCGGAAGCAGCTCGACGCCGCTGGGCTTGCTGTTCTCCAGAGCATTCTCCAGAGTTTCATTAACAGCGTACTTGAACAAGATGGGGGATGCTGGACAACCCTGTCTTATACCCCTGGTGATACTAAAGGGGGCGGGCGAAAGTCCGCCGTACACCAGCACTCGGCCCGAGGTTTCAGAGTAGATGGCTTGAAGTAAGGTGACATACATCTCGAGCACTCCCCTTCTCAGTAGACAACTTCAGAGAGCAGCTCTTTCGACTGAGTCAAACGCGGCTTGCATGTCTAAGGAGACAAGGATCGTTGGCCGGCCAAATGTTTGACGACGCTTGAGTATTTGGCGGTGTGTAAAGATGTGATCGATGCAACTCCCACCTGAGCGGAACCCAGCTTGCACTTCACGTATGATCTGTTCGCGTACCAAGCTGAGCCTTCTTAAAAGCAGAGCTGCGAGTAAGCAACACAGATGAGACTAAGCTTTCTGTGGTTGGCGCAGTCAGTTTGGGTACCGTTTATGAACCGGGCACGATATCTCCTACGATCCAATCAGATGGGTAGGTCATCCCTCACACACGGAGCCATTGATCAGGACTCTCCTGCTGTTCACACAATTGGTGTCATTGAAGAAGCGATAATGTTCCGGCGATCATTTGCGAGGTTCATTAACGTTAGGTCTAGGTTGTTCATTCTACTTGATCTTGCACTAATTCTCATTGCAAACCACTTAATTCGTGTAAACCACGTTTTCCCCTTGCCGTTTGATCTCGGCACTTGATTTCAAATCCACCTTCTGAAAATCTTAACCAGATTTTACTGTGCATTTTAGCGTTGCGGGTCTGTGCTCTCATTTGAGCATTGGAGAGTTGATATTCCTGAGACAGTCCCTTTTTCCGAGCATTATAATGCCAACTCAGATCACTACGGGGCCTTTGACTAACAAGATTCAGAAAATTGTCGCATCCGACCTTGACACTGATAAGGTTAGTAGTTTTTCATTTAAACTTAAAATTAAGGAACTCTTGGAGAGCCTGTTTGCGGTTTCTCACGTGATTCCTGCTAATTCCATTCGTTATCGCAGAAATCTGCGGTCTGAATTGGAGGAACAGCTGTTAAAGCTGTATGAATCTCTTCTGGAAGAGCTAGAAAATGTCAAAAATGTATTTCAAATGTATCATTTAAACATTTCAGGATGTCGGTGCCATGAATTCTCATGTTGAATGCATGTTAAGCTCATGCCGCACCATTAACGATGAGCTTTCGGTAACTAACAACATTCACTATTCCTTTTTTAGGAAATGAAGGAAAAAACGAACTCATTTATGACAAAGGCGTCTAATTTACAAAGAGAAAAGTACCTTGAATAAACTAATACTCATTTTTTACTAGTGCAAAGAGTGACCTGAAGGTCAACATTTTAGAGTGTCTTTCTCACAATTTTCAACTGCCTCCTCCCGAAAAAGAACTATTGTGTTCTAAAGATACTGCAATAAATTCAGCTTTTTTTGCTGCGCTCCATCATGCTCGTTCGATTGAACGAAGCTGCAGAGACCTGATGCACTCAAGCGAACACAATTTCGGGTAAACATGGCTGATACTTTGCTTAGTAGCTAGCATGAGCATGTTGGACGTAATACACGGGACGCTTGAAGAAGCGTATCAGCATTTGTATCTGTGGACACAAAGCAAGTTTCTTCGGTCTTGTTTATTTTTCTTAGACGAATGTCGAACTAAAACACAAAGTACCACGGAAGTTTCCCTCAACCTGCGGGACTCTATTCATGAACTTCAGGACAGACCAGTACTATTAAAGTAAACCCGAAATGAATCTGCATTTTATTCTCATCTCCTTCGTCACTAAAATAACTATCTTATTCAACTTTTCATTAAGCTTACAGGGGGTTTACTCCGCCTACTTTTTTTAGTCTCCACACTTTTGTGTTCTTCAGAACCTATTTATCGTGTTCATCTGCACCTGTGACGAATGTTTGGCTGCCTGCTCGTCTCAATTTCCCCACGGTGGTCTTTTCCGCTACCTGTTGCGAACTTCGTACATGCTTCTCGAATAGTTTAACTTAGTGTCGTAGATATATGCTGTCCATTAATAAGTTCTCAACGTCTAAGCGACTGGACAGTACCATTCACCTATGCTTCCACTAGTCACAATAAAAAGCATTGCTAGTTTTCGTTCTGATTATTCACACCGCAGTTCTTTTCAAACGATTGGCTCGCCTCGTTACTCTTCGGCTCCCGAGTGCACGGCTCGTTTTCGTCTGCACGTCACTGATGAGTTTCAGTTATTATGCCCTGCAGCATCAGGAATTTGGGAGGCCGAATTCCAACTCCAGAATGCTGATGGATGCAAGGACAAGCTTTTCTTTTGACATTAAAGGGCTTCTATCGCAACAGCTATAAAATGACGTCGATGATGTGGGGTACCAGCTAAGCAGAATGAAACCATGCAATCTGATTTGCATTTGTGCAATGGAGTCCAATTGAGGTTCCGAAAGAGTCACTGCTAGGTTCAAACAAACGGCTTAACCTGTAGTTAAACATTCCATACTGATCGGTTATATATACAACAAGGCAGAACTTTTTGTTATAATTTTACACAACAACTCATACAATACCGAAGGGTAGTAGGTGGGATTGGATGGTATAGGTAGAAATTCCTCACATCTAGTCTCACTCAGAGCCATCACATGCCCGGAAAGCACTGTACAGCCGTTTCATCCTTTCGGGAATCGTCAGCAGTGCGCATTCCATCTGACCCTTGTAGGGCTCGAACCCGCTACTCGACTGTTGCCAGTCTGTAGTTAAGACCACCGAGCTACGCTGGACGGCAACGAGCACCGTGAATAAGTTACTACATGTGTTATAGCGTCGTTCACTATCCACTGGCTTGCACGTTACTACCATGTAGAGGACAGTATAGCCCCGAAAGGATGAAGCGTCCGTACGGTGCTTTTCTGGGCGTGTTATGGCTGTCTGAGTGGGTCTAGATATGATGAATTTCTACCTATACCATCGTACTCCCTCTACTACTCTTCTGTACTCATTGCGCAGACCAAACTGCTTAAAATGCCATACGTTAAGTGGCGGCAACCTCGTCGCTTGGTTAGGGGGCTACCTTGTCCTCTACATGCTAGTAACGTGCAAGTCAGTAGATAGTGAACGGCGCTATATCACATCTAGTAACTTATTCACGGTGGTCGTTGCCGTCCCGCGTAGCTCAGTGGTCTTAACCACGGACTGGCAACTGTCGAGTTGCGGGTTCGAGCCCTACAAAGTCAGCTCGAATGCGCACTGCTGACAATTCCCGAAAGGATGAAATGGCTGTACAGTGATTTTCTGGGTGTGTACTGGTTATGCGTGTGTCTAGATGTGACGAATTTCTACCTAAACTCATACAAGCCAGAGAAATCTTCAGGGTACTACATTAACCTTTTCCCAGAATGGACTGTGTAAGCAGTCCTTTGATCTACGTGAGGATTATCCCTCGCTACTCATCTTTTTACGTGACCAGGCCGGCCTTATTGGCCGGTGTGCAGTGCACTTTATTCAGCTTCTTAGTGAGCACTACTGTGAACTGGTCCTGACGAGCTCTACTGTGTCCTCTTTACGATGCCGAAACGAAAAATGGTATTTGTGATAACTGTTTGTAGAATTTTAGGTGGCTGGCCAAGTGTGCGATTCGCTGGGGCGTAAATTAAAGTGTACTGTGTCAGTGAGGACGTATAACTCGGTAATAGTGGGCACATGTAAAGCGTCGTAAATGCGCAGCTACATAACAATTGTAGTGAAGGAAACATGCGAGGAACTTGTTTGAGGTATTATCAAAACCTTTACCTCTTTTCTGTGAACTTGGTAGAACCATATTTGAATCAAGAGTGTAAACGAAGATCGTAAATGTCAAATTGCTCCAGTCGAAATAACAAGGATTGAGAAAGTCTGTGGAGCAGACGGAAAACGTGACTTCCCTATCATGACTGTCGACCATGGGTTGGGCAAAATTACGGTTTCAGATTGCTGAAGACTCCGTTGAAACATATTGACTGGTCTGTGATTAAAGGGAGAGTTTCGATGGCATAGGTTGTAATGGTTCTAGTTGCATCCTGGTGTCAGAATCGTCCAGAGATGCTGGTTTGAGAGGATTAGTACTTAGCACCTCGGTTTTACCATTGTGATCGAGGGTAAAGCTTTTGTCATCCCGCGCACTACACGATACTAGAGTTTGAAGTGGCCAAAGTACGCTGTTAGTGTGATGAAAAGTTGGGGACAAGAGTCAAAGTAGTCAACCATTTTAGTACGCTTATTCTGTGCTCTGGGTGAAGCTTTCGCATGCAGTTAAACAGTCTAGCGGCCTAATCGCTATAGTAAATAAATAATCTGTCAGATCAATGGTCAACTTTTAGCCTCCCTCACTGATCCGTTAATTAACTATGTAACTTGATCCAATGAGTTGATTTCAGTTCATTATTTTACCCTTAAATATGATTGTAATGGTCTGAAGAGAATCATCGAAAACAATTGTTCACCTATGGTCTCGTGTTCTTTTAATCTTTTATTCTCGAATGTTGTTGAAGCTTTTAGTGAAACAATTTTACCGGATAAGAGAAATAGTCTGGGGCGTAGGTGGACTTTATTCGCTAGATTGTATCCAAAATAAAGCTTTGAGCTGCTAATGAAACCTTTCTTCCACTCCGTTATCTGTGTGGCAATATGCTATGGTTATCTTGGTTTGAGTAATTTGACTAATTTACTAAAGGATCCGTTGAATTGTGATCCTTCGTTGATAATCACTACTATATGGTAACCAAATTGATCTACCAATTGTTATTGGAAAGCGCGTGCAGCTGTCTCCGACGGACAGTCGGACAGTCCTCCGGCTAACGTGTATATCTGTCGACACAGGTGAGAAGGTGCACGGCGCCTTTACATGAAGCGAAGATCCTATCTAGTCAACTTGCAGGTGCTCAAAACGGGAGTCTGGAATACGAGCAACGCCACATTGGCTCTTGATCTATCTACAAAAGCGCTGATATTCTTGGTCTGTGCAAGCTCAAATGCGGACATCGCTGTTAGTGCCAGGCGAAATGTAGAGTCCGGTTGTGAGCTTGTGAGAAGTGCCTACGCCGTGATGAGGGGGACCGTTGTGCATTAAAATTATAAATAAATAAATTTGTATATTTACCGACAGATGGTACACGGCCCCATAACTTGCAACGATCATTTGTATAGTGAATAGGATTCATGGTTTATGCGGCGTAAATCATAATAGTAAGAAGTTTATTAATAGAATTTCGGATCGTGATTTTTTCCTCGGGTCCTAGACCCGTGCACCTAATATGTAAAGTTTACGAGTGTTCGTATCATCATTTTCTAGTTTGCGGTGCTCAGATAGTAAAAGGGAGTGGCTACTAGGCTGCACAGACACGGGATTTGGTGTTGTAGGTAATGACATGTAGTGGGTAAGCTAGTTGTAAGCGAATATCTGCTCATATGTTTTTTATACCAGCTTCTGTCAATATATCTAGAGTTTACTGTGAATCAAATATCTTCAACACATTTAGTATAGTGAGGAATATATGAGCTGAAAGACGGGAGCAGCCTGTGGGATATCACAGGGAATTGTACCTTCAAAGTAAGTCAGAGTAATTTCGCTCAGGTTCGGTCGTGCTTAGCACCGAAGCTCATCTAGACCAGGATCAGCTTGATAAGTGGCAGTCATAGCGGCTAAATGGATCTTGGTCTCATGCTTTGGGCTGATTTGATGCATTCGTGAAATTGCGTCCACTACGGGGTTGAGCTCGCCTGGGACGTTTACAGCTGCCGCGAACTGCGAGACGTAATACAAGTGGCGAGTTTCTCGCAGCAAACGTTCGCTTGTTACGCCATTGGTTGCATAGACTGTTGGTTTGCGGTCGAAGGAAAGCCTAAAGTGTCGACCTTCAATAGCGACGCTTGCAGTTTTCTACCGAACGTGCTGTAACGCGATTTAGCAGGCTGCAAACGCTTTGAGAAGACACCACAAGGTATACATTGTTGATTGATGGACTGTTGGAGAACCCCACCGGCATCGATCTATCTCGTACGCATTTGTTATAAAGACTAGCGTGCTTAAGTTTAGGTGAGTGAAAAGCGCTATTTTGAAGATAGCTCCTCTGAACTGCTCGACAACCAGCCGAGTTCTGTTTGGAAAGTGTACTTTGGTTATCGCGGTGTAAATCATTTTTAGTTGCATAATGACAACGTGCTTAGTTATGCAACCTCGGTAATAGTTCACCAGCCACAGAACTGGCGAACTTATTTGAAAGAGAAAGGTCAGGACTTATTTCCTGGACTTTGTCCGCGAATTCCATGATTTCAATGGAGGACATATTGTGGTCAATGAAATCAGTGGTATGTTATGGCCGAGTCCCCACTTATCAGGCTTTCGATAGTAACCCTATGCTGCATCAGCCTTTTGAAGAGCACGTCAAGGTGGTGGATGTGTTCATCGTTTGTATAGCTGGCGATGAATATACCATCTAATCAAGGATGAAAACCAGGTCCACGTGAAACACTGAAACACTCGTGAGTAACATTATTGTTAAGCCCACAGGAAGACCAAACAGTGTGTTGTCCGCAAGTTTATGTATATTATATTGCGCTGCATATAGTTGGTGATCTCAGGCCCAAAATTTTCCTTTCTAATAACTAGCTTATCGATTACGTGAGGTTAAATCGTTTATATCGAGAATTGGGTACTTGTGCGTCATGGTAACTCCGTTGAGTGTCTTTGTTGCCTTTTGGAGTACCCTTTGTGTGTCTGGATTGCTACACGCAATCTCGATTCGCGCCACGGTTTGCTTTGAAGCAAATCTCTACCATTTCGATCACCGAGACCGCATCCTAACTGGTGAGCGTCGGAGCTGCTCTCTCCCAGCACTGCATTCCACGACTGACAGTGAGCATTGTGGAAAACGTTTCAACTTAGGTGTTGCTTCTGTACTGAGCACATCAATCACTTTATCTTCACATCCATTGTAATTCATTTGAGCCCCTAGATACGTGCATCTGACTGCCACTCCGGGCTTCTTTCATTAACTTTTCGAAACTCCGTCGTATCCTGCCTCATCTGCTCACAATTACCTGGGCAACGACATTTACACAATCCATTCCTGCTAGTCTTCTTTCACCTATATCTCCATTCTTCTTTTTCTTTGTCCGTCTACTCACGAGTTATATTTAAAGATTCTTATTTTCAGTACTCATCCATGCTACCACACTACGATCCTCGACTCTTATTTCGCACTTTCACTTTTTGTATATTTTTTACTTTCTTGTGTCTACCAGATACGCACTTGATGAGTACGCCGGAGCTAGGCGCGCCGCTTCAGTCAAGTCGTTTATCGATGCTCTTACGCTTGGTGCTGACGCCGTCTCTTCTCACAATGGCCATCATTCTAGACCAATTGATTTGCATTCACACGATCCATTGCGATACACTAGTGATATGCTCGCCTGGATTCACCAACTGACTGCTTCGGAAAACGAGTATCTCAATAGCTTGACCCGCTCGTTAAACGAATCAGGTACTAGTTTACTCTTGCATCACTCTTCCTACTTTTCCTAAGTCGAATTTCTGCCTTCACTTTCCTTGATCACCAACGGATTTCATGGTCGCTTAACCGGTCTGAATTGGTCCCCCACTTCTTTGCCATTGGACAACATGGGCAAAATCATTTTGTTTAGATTAGCGCGCACAGCTCCACTGAATGAACGAAAGGCATGAAACCTGATTCACTGGATAGTTTTTCATGCATTCAATAAGTCTACATAATCCTCTTCTTTGGGTTAAAATATCCCTAGAACTTCGTTCCACTGTTGCGGTTAGTGCATTCAATCGAACTGATTTCATTTGATCACAGCGATGGGCCAGGCAACCACTGAGTCTCTAGCGGAACAGACTAATCGGTCGCACCAGACGTAGTCGTCCGTCTACGCGGCTCCTCCCGCTTGTTGACAATCAGTTCCCTATACCACTTGTCTGAATAAGCGTAAGTCAAAGCCGTTTTAATGCACGACAGTAATGTCGTTTATACAGGCTATCTGACGATCTATGTCTGAGCTCAGTAAACACCGCCTGTGTTGTTTATTCCGTTGATTCATCTCTTTTGCAGAACTTATTTGTCCATGCTTCTGCAGTATGATATTGCGAGAAATCAAAGCGGTTTCAATGGTCGGTATTCCGTTGTTGTTCTGCGCTTAGTTTGCCACATTGAACATGGTTGGAAAATGACTGGAGACAAAATGTAAATTGATGGACTTTTGTGCATTGTTACGCTAGGACGAACAGCCGATACCTGCTGTTTGGCGGTGTTTAAACACAGTCGACAACGGCGCACACGGTGTTGTGGACAGTTGTCAGCAGGTTCAAGGAATTCTGTCTTTCACTTGACTTCGGATAACGGCCTCCGGTCTGTTATTTTTGGCTGTGTTGACAAGCTCACTTTGTGTTGGCTTTCTGCGTTCGTTGGAAGTATTTCGTGGAAATTTAGATACAATTCAGTTTCATTTCCGATTCTGGAATTTCCGACCGGAAATACTTGTGTTTTCATCGCTTGGTTTCGGCGATCTTACTATCGCCATTTTCTCCGTCAATTGGACGCCCTCTTGTTTTTGGATTATTCACAATGCCAAAGCAGTCACCCTGTGGTACTTGCTCCAAGCTAGTCGGATACCGTGCAAATGCCCTCACGTGTGTTTTGTGCCAACTTAAATACCACACTTCATGTGTTGAATTATCAGTTGGACATTTTCATCGTCTTCGCGAGATCCAACACGATTTCGTTCAAACTATATGTGAAAATTTCCGAAATAAGTTACAACCAGGAAGAGTAAAGCCGACATGTAGGCTTCATCATTTCGTTGCGAACAGCTCCGTGTGCTTGGCCCAATAACCTAGCTTGAAGAGCCTTCAGATTGCAGCTCAGTTGTCCTCCTCTACCCGTGCAAACTCACCGACACGAAGTCCAACCGTTGTGGGAAGCCCAGTTGCACCTGGCATAAAGTGTTTACCTATGTTGTGTCCACCGGACACTGATGTCCCAACAGGTGAAAATCTGAGTGCTGAAGACCAGTGGAAAGAATATAAAACAAAATTATGAAGGGATGTTGGGCGTTTAACTTCTGTAAGTCAACATTTAGGCAAACCACGTGAGGCTGATAGTATATTTCTCCTTGCAAGGTCAACCTCGTCCGACCAGAGGCATTATAACCTCGTGATCTTTCACGCGCTGGAGTCCAGTTATTAATTACCCCAAGTTCGCTACGATCACGATGTCTAGATTTTACAGCGTCTAATTGACAGTCTCCTCGAGGCTGGTGAGGACTCGGTAAAAGTGAGGCAAATTACCCGTCTTGGAAAGCAAGGTGATCAACGATATTGGCCTATGAGAATCACTCGTGGACGAAGCCAGTCCAAGACTGATCATGTCCCGCCTAAGTAGGCTGAAAGGTTTGAAGATCCATGTTCGTCCAGATCTGGACCCAGTATACAGGGTGCGGCTCAACTCTGCCATCATTGAGCTGAAAAGACGCACTGGTGAAGGGAAACAAATCTTCGTATCGTAAATTTTCGGGTGGTTTCCAACAATCTGCGAATCAGGATAAACAGGCTGCTCACACTTCAAGCATGCCCGGCGGCTTCCGCTGCGGCCTGCGAGTAGCCTTCACAAACGTTTGCAGTGTTCTGAATAAGCGCGATGAGCTTTGTTGTTTCGTTGCATCTGAGCGGCCAGATGTAGTGGGGGTCGCTGAGACATGGCTGCATGCAGAGTTATGCACCCAAGAACATGAACTCAACGGTTACTCGTGCTACCGAGGCGATAGACTAAAGAATGCCCACGGTGAAGTCTTACTTGACATGCGGTCTTCCCTGCGTGGGAGATTTGTTAGCACCTACCGAAGTGACGATGGTTTGTGTGAGCTACTGTGGTGCTCCATCCGCCTCAGACGCGCAGAACTGCTTGTGGGCGCAGTTTATCGCAGCTCCCTTAGTCGTCGTTCGGATTGCCTGCCCATTCTTCCAACCCACACGAGTCGTTCACAGTTTCTACTTTTGGGCGATTCTAACTGTCCTCGAATACGATGGCCTGATGTGAATTTGATGCCTGTACATAGTGAGGTTGAAGCAAAGTTGGTGGATTTGGTACTTGAAACTGGTGCATCGCAACACATATTCCAGTCAACACGTATAACAACACGCTCAACCCGGTCCTGTCTCGACCTGATGTCAACGAACAACGAGTGCGTGACGTTAAGATCCTAGAGCCCCTGGCTACAAGCGACCATTCAGTGCTCATAGCTGATATGGAATTATCTTTGACATATTTACGTCCGCTGGAACCAGCTCCCAACTACTGGAAAATGGACTTTGATGGTCTAGCTCGACCCGCGAGCCAATTGGATTGGTCTCTGTCACAAGCTGTATCTGTGGAAGCCTGCTGGATATTTATAAAAGAGAGATTAACATCATTGTGTTCCCAATTCGCGCCATTGAAATGTCGGAAGGTTGAACCGATTAAGCCTCATTGGTTTGACAAGGAGTATGGAAACCTGGCTCAGAGTCGGCTCAGACTGTGGGACAAATCCCTCTTCTCTGGCTCTGCCAATGATTACGAAGGGTATAAAAGTCAACGGAACCTCTGCAACAATTCAAAAAAGAATAAGCGCCGACACTTTGAAGAGCAGATCGCAATAGCCTCGAAGACCGCCCCAAAGCGAATCTTTGCATACGTGAAGCGACGCCTGAAGCCGGCAGGTGATGTGCCAGTGCTGGGTAGCCCGGATGGACAGCCTATAACCTCCAGCACTGAGCGTGCGTTCGCGTTGGCGGCGTACTTCGCCTCTGTGTTTGCGAATGACCAGGTGTCTGTTCCGTGTTCGACGTGTACCGCTTTTACAGGACTCGATAGTCTGCATTGCGGCGTTGAAGAGGTATGTCAACTACTCGCCAAACTTGACGACACCAAACCTGCCGGACCTGATGGGCTTCACCCACTGGTTCTCAAGTCACTTTCGACCATCATCTCTCCTGTCGTGACTTACCTTTTTCAACAGGTCGCTATCCGATGGTTCGTTGCCGATTGACTGGAAATGTTCGGTGGTGAAGCCTATTGCGAAAGGCGGCGACCCTAGCAAAGTAGACAACTACAGGCCAATTTGTCTGACACCTATTTTGGCAACTGTCGCTGGGAAAATCGTGAAGAAGGATTGCTGCAGTTGCTACAGTCAAACGAGATCCTGACGCCCGTCAGCACGGTTTTATGCAAGGTCGCTCATGCATTATGAACCTACTTGTGACGAGACATGAGTGGTTGAAGGCAATAAGCAGGGGGAAGTCTGTCGACGTGATATTCCTCGATTTCAGTAAAGCGTTCGACAAGGTCAGCCGTGAGATTCTCCTTCACAAACTCAGGATGTGTGGTGTCGGTGGATCCGCGACTTTCTTGTTGGACGAAAGTGGAGGGTACAGTTCGACGACCATCTAACTGACTGGTGACCCTCTACAAGTGGCGTGCCTCAAAGCACTGTACTGGGGCCCACTTTGTTCCTGATCCACATGAACGATCTACCTCAGCTTCTCCGGTTGCCGTGTGCCTTGTTTGCGGACGACATGAAGATTTGGAGAGAAATTGTCGCTCCCGATGACTGTGGCGTACTTCAGCAAGACCTCAACCGCCTATCCACATGGTCTGCAGAAGTTATTCTCCCGATCAACCCAGCGAAGTCTGTATTTATGAGTCTGGGGTAGGATGCTGACGGCCAACCGCTATATCCCACACCCTCCGTGAAGGACCTAGGTTTACTCACACGCTACGATTTGAAGTCCGTGGACAACACAAACAGGCTATATCGTAACGGACTGCGCATGCTTTGGCCGCTCAAACGTCATCATCATCATCATACCACTCAAACGTAGCTTCGTCACATGGTCTGAAGAGGTTGCCACTCGCCTTTTCTCTTCTATCATTAGACCAATGCTAGAGTATGGTTCGCTCGCCTACTTTCCGATTTCCCGAGGCGAGGCACAAAAGATCGAGCGGCTCCAACACGTTGCTACCCGGCTCATTCCGAGTTTACGTGGCTTGAGGTATAAAGACCGGTGCGAGAAACTAGGACTCTACACCTTGTCCTACCGTCGGGTGCGAGTCGACCTCCTTATGACTTACCGTATTCTACATCTCGGTGACTTCCCAATGCTAAGGCCAATGCTGCACTTACGAGGACCATGCAGCACACGCGGACACAGATACAAACTTGTCGTGCCGGATGTGAAACGTGTTCCCCACCCACTGTGCTTCGAACAGAGAGTGGTAAATATTTGGAACAGTTTACTTGAACCCGTGATTGAGGCAACATCTGTGCAGCAGTTCAAAACGTTGTTAGATTTATATTTTACCAGTATTCGATTCAGAGAACGATTGCACACTTACGATGACATATCACATTTGTGAGTCCTGAAACATCATGAGTCAGATGTTTTAACTGTTACCTGAGAACGACAACGATATTCATGGCTGGCAACTTTTATAACGTTTTTCACAATATTTCGAAAGAGTTGTACAGAATTCATTTCTACTTGCTCTATAATATAGTATTCAGTATTCAGAAAAGGTTTCCAAACAAGTCCATCGACTCACGTTATTGACTCGTCCGTGGTCGTACTTTCTGCAACTGTATGGTGGACGCTCCTACCGGTTGGAATCGTGCTTTGCATTAATGAAGACATACACCCTAGCGTAGTTGCAACAGCTTAAGCAGTGCACTAATATATCATACTTTCACTGAATGTAACGGTCAGTCAATGCGGATGTGTACATGATTTCAAGTTCCATAGAATAACTGCGAAACCCGTTACCTTACCTAAAAGCTTTGCAAATACTGTATCGTGTGACACCTGAAGAATCGTATATCCGCGTAGGGGTGGGTGTCCTCGCCGTATACTCAGCCCGCGCGCGACTGGTGGTGGTCGCGCGGCAGCGAAGCGCCGTTACGGCGTACAGCTGATGCACTAATATTTTTATTATTAAGAATCGTATACGATGTCAGCCTTGGTACTTTATTTATGCCAAGGGTGGGAAAATGCGCCACTTCACTAGCCACTGAAGATCAACCAGGATGACCACACCCGTCACTGGGGAGTGATCACCAAACTCGGTACGCTCAGTTCACATCGTTTCTTGAAATGGATCAAAGAAATATGTATACACATATTCCGTGATCGGTGGCGTAACCGCGCCGTTCCAGCCAGACTCTAACATCACTGTCAGCACAGTACTGAATACTGTATTACGGGAGCAAATAGAGATTTAGTTCTGTACAATATTATCAAAAATTTTCGATATCGTAAAAGGACGTAAAACCATTAAGTTGGGAACCATAAATACATCATATCATTGGCAGTTGGTAATCATTTTCGGAATCTAGCATTGAAGAAATCCACATCCAACAAAGAGCACTATCCGACCGGATCAATGATGCCTACGCATAGGGAACCGCCTCAGACTCGCCCAACGAATTGGCTAAGACAGGAGTATCCAAACATTTTTCAGAGGGTCACATTTTGTAAAGTAATGTCGGGCCATGTTCAATCTGATATTAAGATAATAACAAAAATTACCCATGTACGAAAATAGTCCAAGCCTGAATTGATTATCTCATGATCAGCGCGCGGGACAGTTGAAATGTTAATGCGGGCCGCATTTGACCCGCGGGACGGAGTTTGGACACCCCTGGGCTAAGATCAACGCGACCAGTTCTAGAGGTAGCACTTCACGCCTCTGGAGTTTCTTGGTCGTGCAACAATAGCTTATGTCTGTTCTCGGCTTTGCTTCTGTATAGTCTTTTGCTTTTTATTGTTTTTGCCACGTCCTTTTCGTTTATTTGGGTTATGGCGAAACAGGTCTTGGTAACAAGTGGCATCCCTCCCTATCCTAGATCTCAGGAAGTCCGAGGGTACTACTGATTTATCGCTAGACCCAATAGAAGAATAGATTGCTCTGCCGATTTGCATTCTCCCATTTTGGCACAGTCTTTGGCAAAAATCCGATCAATTGTTCGCTGTCTACTTCGTTTACGGATACGTACATGCGTGGAATCGACTACTGCTGCATATTTGGATATTAAGTAACGGCGTATGGTTTCGCACCTCCTTAAGCGAATTCCTGAGTGTCATGACTGTGTCAGAATTCCTACCCATCAACGCGTCCACTGACTAGCTTCGAGAACACGGACTGATCGATTTTAGTGATGTATCCTCTCGAGAATACTACGAATCAGTTAACATTCATTTCCCCCGTACTCCTTATTTGCTGTTCACTGCGGGACAAATCGTTACAGACTCTTGTCACATGTCTCTACCTACAGCACTTTGGGATTGATGAAACTAATATAATTATAACAGTCTTCACCATTTACGTATCAGTTAGCCTGTTTCCAGTTCCATTTCTCCTGCCTGCACCTTCCCTGTGGTTGTCGTGCAGTTGCTACGGAAACATCCTCGATTATGCCTGGATGGTTGGTGTCTTACTTCCCTGTCAATAAACTTAGAGCGTTGATGCTCTTACATGGAAGGACACATCAATCGTATCAGTTCAAACCGCCCTCGTCTGCAGCACTTATTACTATGTTCGGCCGCATTCTACTTTGACAGAACATTCATCAGGCCAAATGCACTTGTATCCTTATGACACGAGTCGGGATTTCCTCTTCTACAATATTCCCTGTAACAAACATTGTGATATAAACACATGGGTCTTTGATCTTTGAAATTAAATACAAGCCACTAACTGCTGTATTGGGTGGAGAATATGCCAACAATTTTGATTTTTTCTGTGGGGAAAAAGCAGCTGCATCCTAATTGACGAAGTCAATTCACGACTAGTGCAATGTCTGGACGCGCGTATTTCGTGGAAATTCGATATGCGATCGCCGATTACTACCTTCTAATAACGAAAGTTATACTGATACTTTAGTATACGTGCGTCAGTACCAGCTTTAATCACAACTGTACTTATACATCTTTTCTGACCTAAAAATTGACCTACACGTATGTATCAGCCCGTTATTAACACATGAATTGCCAATTGACAGTTTTGTGCACGCGCTACCGTTCAACATGTGATAGATGCATAGCTATTTGTGTGCCGGACTAATCGCGCCTTAAAGCAGGTGTCTCTCAGTAAATCGAGTGTACGTATTTGCTTAGTCATATGAACAATCAACTTTCTTTGTGATCCATTTGTACAATTTGATCGGACCAACATCTTTTGCCGTGTTTACGCGGTCGAGAAATTACTATGACTGTGTATGCGTTTTCCTCATCCTGTCTCATCGTTTTCGATGAAAATCACTTGCAATCACCATTCCATGGTATGGTAGTGTTTAAGGAAATAAAAAGCGCAAGTTCCGCTCCTGTGTTCGAATGAAAACCACCGGCCCATCGCTGAGACGTACGCATGGTAACACCGGTAGGACACTGATTTCCCTAGTTTAAGAGTATGCTCAAGCCTTTTTCAAACTAGCGACTTCACATTAGTCAGGTTTTGCCTAAGCTGCATATTCATGTACGCCACCAGTCCCTTTCATCATTAAGTACTTACTGATCTCAGGTCACAACATTTAACTTAACTATGTGTGGAAACTGTGCTGCATCAGGCTATTTGTATTTTTCCATTGAGTCTATTGTGATAAGCAACAGCTTTGTGTTCAACATCAGTCAGCCTTAGGTTACTCTGCCTGTGAGGGATTTCCGTTCATTGTCTTTTGTTTTGTGTTTATTTGCACCAGCCGTCATTTTGAAATAAATTCTATCTGGTTAGACGGTATGTACTAAATGAATTCTCCAACTTCCATAGTCATTAGAGTTTTCCCATTTTTGTCCTCCGTAAAGTGGTATGCGTCACTGCCGCTGACATGTAGAAAATCACTAGACGGCCATTCGGCCCGTTCAATTTCCTTCAGGTTTCTACATTCTTTGCGCTCTTGCATACACAGTCTCATGTCTCTGGGTCATGGAGGACACCGATAGCTGATATAACTCTTTGACTAGTCGTGATTGTCGTACTCACGCTGACCTCTGTCTCCCTTTTGTTTCTTTTTCTGATTTGTTTTTCCATGTTCCCTCATTTATACCTTTTGTTGTATCAACTAACTTTGATATCTTACGGATATCAATCACTGAATAGTTTCCTAGTGAATAACGAACAGATTTAATTGTTGATGATTTTTTATACATTCGACCGTTAAATAAGGTTCGTTAATTACTTGGACTCATTTTATATTTATCACTTCGTGATATCCGTGAAATCTCTTTAGGCCCTTGATTAACAAACATCCCTTCTCTCTTCTTTCCAAGTTATCGCTGATCTGCGCGTTCTTTATTTGGATAAAATCACCGAAGGGCTATGTTCTCTTTTCAAAGTGAGTTTCCGCTCTGCGCATACTCTTTTTTGTTTATATCATTTTCGTAACCATGGGGCTATGTTTCTTGTCGATGCATCTTTTTTTCTTCACCGTTATAACTTAGGCCCGCTGAATGAGTACGACAGTTAGTACATTCCTATCTTTTCGTCTTCTTTTCTCATCGCTTCTTCCTCTAGGCTCGAATGGAGCAGTTGATGACTTCCCTGCAAGACGTTGTATTACTATATCGAGTCAATAACATTCTACGCTTTTACGAACACACCTTGCAGTAAGTTGGTTTCTGCCTCTCAACTTTACGCCGTCTTAACAAACTGTTTTAATCTAACCTTGTCATTATCATGTCGCACTCACATTCCGGTCACAGCCGGAATGTGATCTCCGATCAGGTTTACTGTATCGCACTGCAGCCACGACCAGTGGTGGCTTTTTCCACACGCCCATATTGCAGATTCGCTTCTGTGCTCTTCATCTATTATTATTACCATGCTTAAACTGCACTTGATACCCAGTGCAATGAACAATAACCTCTTTGCAATTACAATCTTTTTGATTTGCAGTTGCACGGATCATTGATTGCCCTGGCTTGCACACTTATTCCTTTTAATTACCCAGTTGGTCTTTGGCCAGTGTGGCTTTGTGTTGGTGGTGTGAACCTGCACCAGGCACACATATATCGTTTTAACTTCTCCATCGTGTTCAGTATGTTCCATCCATCGAAATCTTGTCGTCCATTACACTACACTCACAGCTCACCGGGGGGCTGGAGATTGTTAACAAGCTTATCCTCGATTTAGCCCTATGTATGCAGTATGTACCGATGCTTTAATCTTTAAAGACTGGAGCTACTAAGTCTCCTCAGCTGGAAAATATCATCGGGTTAGCCGAACACCGTTTTTTGTTTCACTCTCATTCTGTAATGGTTTCGCTGCTGCATCATCTGCGTCGGACTGCTAGGGTAGATAAGAACAATGGACGAGTACGCAGTAAGCGCATGTCTATTAGAAACAAGGAGGTTGGTCAGTTGCACTAACACAGACCGTTCTAGTCATAACCCGCTTGATCAAGGATGTTGACCTCATTGTAACACTAATCTGTTGGTTTATGTAGTTCATAACTCTTTTTGTTTGACCCTTGGGCTTCAACTCCCGCTTATCTTTGGGACTTATGACTGTTTTGACCTTTGGTCGCGAGCTTTATTGATCTGCGCTCTAGGAAACGCACATCCTTTCTAGTTTGTTCGGTGCACAACCTTCATCTTGGGTCAACCTGGAATGGAGCCACCGGCTCCCGTGCACAGCTGGATTCCCGTCTGCGCGGGGCTGCAATGTCTGTCGTTGTCACTAATTTGAAAGCGGTTTCCGATTTCAGTAAACCTTCCTATTTCAAACGTGTCTAAGAGATCCATCACCACTCTTTTGATCACAACAAAGCGTCATTAGGGGTTGGTTAACGTGGCTGCTCCACAGCCGTGGACCCACCTTGACGTCGCACACCCAATCCGTCGTTTAATGATGCCGATGACGCACTTTTGATGGAACATTATCTTTTGGTCGCAGAGTCCGTTTCTTCTTGAACGACAACCGATCGCTGGCCCTAAATTGGTCGGATAGCTCCACGTGTCGGTCGTCATTGTCTGTTCATCGGAACATCGGCGGAGGACAGCCGTTCTGACCGCGGATTTGCAGTGGTTCTAGGGTCCATTAGGAAGTTTTTCAGTATTTTCTCACTCGTTCCCTTCCTCTTGGATTACCCAAGGGCATGGCACAATCTATCGACAAATCCCTATACCTGTCTATTTACTTGTGGACGGAAAGGATGTGCTCTGCTATGGGTGATCCCATGTCTTGTTAACTCAGCGAACAACTGGGAACTGGGCGCCGTTGTCGGACACGATTATTTCTAGAAACAAAAGATGGAGAACAGATGTCGCAGTTTGGTAATCGTTGCAGTTGTAATCGTTTACTCCATGATGAAACTTTCCGGCCACTTGCTGAAGATATCCACAACGATTAGGAAAATTTATCCGTTTATCGAGCTGATAAAATCAATGTGGGGACCCAACCATAATCTCTCTGGTTTTGGCCCCCGTTATGCTTGATGTCAGCCAGGCATTTTTTGAGCGTTGACGCGTCTAAAATATCTTTAGCATGTACCTCCCGACTGTCCATTCATACCCGGCTAATAGGCTTAACTCCTCGCCAAAGCTTTCATTCTGTTTATACCCGGATGTCCCGCATTAAACTGTGTCAAGATTCTGCGACAGTTTTGTTGGAATGACACTGCGGTCGACGCAAAACTAGCAGCTATCGACGCTGGAAAAGTTGTTGGAGTTCTCCAGTTTGGCAATGTGACGGCCAAGGGGATCGGTGATACATCATCACCTGTTGGGGGGTGATGTCCCATTTAGTTACTCTACGGACCATATCAAAATCACCGGTAGCTGGTGTATGGTCTCCAAAGCGGTGGCGTTGATTTCGGGTTCTACAGCAACGTTCGCAATGAGCATTTCTTCTGGTTCCTGGTTTGCGATCATTTATTAGTCATGCTAGTGCACCTGTTTGTCCGATGCTACATGTGAAGACGTACTTGATACTTCAGTAATGTTGTGTCCTATAGCTTTAATTAGATCTTTTTGTACACTGGCATGTCTTTCTAAGGACTAAAAATGACAAACTGCGGCTTGGGGTCAGGGACAAGGGGGAATGCCTCACATAAGCATTTATGAAACTTCTTTACAACAACGCCGGTAGCCAGTGATTCTTTCTTAACTTATCCACAATCACTCGCTGCTGGAGCGAAATGAGCTATGGTCTTGTTCGTTCCATCAAGACATTATTTAGCTGTGACTGCTCACGCCATACGATTTAATACTTCATTTGTTAGTACTATCGGAAACTTTGGATCAATGTACGCCAACAGAAGCTCAGATTTCGTGCATCTCTTCACTTGCTCAAACACGTTGACATTCGCTTAACCATATCCATTTACATCCCTTCATAAGCAGCCGATTCAATGGTTCAAGTAAAACAGCAGGAACGCGCTGTGATAGCCGATCAATCTGAAAAATGACTTAAGCGCAGCACCATTCGAAGATGAATATATTTTTATGGTTGGCTTAACGTTTGCCGTGTCGGGTCAGCGACCGACTTTATCGATGAAACCAAGATACCTTATTAAACTCAAGCGGAACTCACCTTTATCCATCTCTAATCGGAAACCATAGTCAAATATGCAAGACATCATCTACACGCATGGACAGTTCGGATCTCGCTCACCTTAGGATTACGATCTCATCGAGGAACACCGCCGCTCCTTCCATGCCGATAAGCATGATGTCCACAAATTTTCAAAGGATGACTGGAACCGTCTTTACTCCAAGAGCCTGACGGGTGTGTCCAACAAGATAACGGTGGGTGTTGATGGTGAGCAGATTACTGGATTCCTCTGCACCCTTAAGCTGTAGGTAAGCATCCGATTGGTCAAATATAACAAAACACTTGACACTGTTCGTTTTCACCAAAATACCCTCTGGCAATCGTGCCGGATAATGATTATGATTAAGGGCATTCTTTTGTCCTGTATACTAGTCGGCATCAACTCGGGGCATCCCGGCCTACACAGACAACCGACCACAACGCTGGACTCTTACCTTAATGGGGTATGATGTCGAGATCCACTACCAGTCGAAAATTTCCATTGGCCAAGCGGATGCACTGTCACGCCTAATTTATGCCCATCAGCAAGAACATGAGGACACAATTATTGCCTCGGTCGAGATTGAACCTGACGTCAACTTTCCGGTAACTGATGCATTGCACGGTCTACCAGTTACAGCAGAAGCTGTACGAACCGAAACGGTTCGGGACCCAATACTCAAGAAGGTTACACAATTGCACAGAACAAGTTGGCCACGTTCATGTCCATCTGCCGAGTTGCAACAGTACGTCCAGAGGAAACACTCACTCTCTATTGTAAACGACTGCATACTATTTTCGGAAAGAGTGGTCATCCTCAAGGCACTTCAGGAGCGCCTTATTCGGCAGTTCCACGCCGGGCATCCTGGAATCAACCGGATGAAGGTGCTTGCCCGCAGTTTTGTATACTGGCCCTTCATGAACAAACAGCTAGAAGAAATAGCTAAACGCTGTCAAAAGTGCTCCAATGTCTTGAAAGCGCCACAAAAATCAGAACTCTATTCATGGCCAAAACCTACTAAGCCATGGTGCCGCATCCACGTCGACTTTGCAGGACCGATCAACGGCAGTAGTTCCCTCATTATAGTGGATTCATACCGCAAGTGGCCTGAAGTATTTCTCATGGATAGCACAACCACCAATGCCACTGTATCAAAACTGCGCCAAACCTTTAGCATATTCGGCTGTCCTGAGACAATTATAACTGACAATGGCACCCAATTCACTTCGACAACGTTTACGGAGTTTTGCAAGCAATGCGCCGTCCAGCACGTTCGCTCGCCTCCTTTTCACCCTCAGTCGAATGGTCAGGCAGAAAGGTTTGTCGACACATCCAAGCGAGCTCTCCACAAATGAAAAGGGGAGGGACGTATAGAGGAGGTGGTTGACCGGTTTATTTTTCTCTACTGATCAACACCGAATCCACAAGCGTCAGCCGGCGTTTCTCCAGCACAGGCTATGATGAACAAGAAGCTGCGCCTGCCTTTCAACGTCATCCGACCGCGCTCGGAATCCTCTGCTGGTGAAAGAAACCGCAGAATGGATTAGGATTTTAACCGGCGGCATGGAGCAAAGAAGCGATCGTTTACGCTTGGACAGAAGGTGCTAGTACGTGACTATCGGGAAGGTCATGCGAAATAGACGCCAGGAACGGTCAAAAGCAAGCGCGGAAACGTCATGTATGACGTGATAGTGGACGCATAGATCTGGACACGGCATGCAAACCAGTTACGGCCCACATTGTGCCAACCAGAACAAGCAAGGCCTACTGACCTCCCGTTCGATTGATTGGTGGAAAGCTTCAACTTGCCGAAGGTCGCGGTGGGCGACTGCGCACAGTCGAGCAAAGAATCCAGAACACGGATATCGGAACCCGGTTCTCGGGCGCTTCTGCCAAGGAGATGGACCGACAGGCAGAGAACACTGTCCCGAAGAATGCCACATAATCCTAGGCTTTCGTCATATACTTCGGACGATATCTCAGGAGGGGAGGCGTCCGGGAGAAAGTAAGAATTGCCAAGGAAATCCACTATTTTAACGATTAATCGATTATTAACGATTATCGCATCGATTTCGAA